ATTATTCACTGTCACCTTATTCAAATGCCTATAATCTATACATCTATGCATCATACTATCTTTCTTCTACACAAACAGAAAAGAAGAGACCCAAGGTGACACACTAGGCCTGATGAAGCCCTTACCGAAGAGGTCCTAAATTTTAATGCTGAGCTCCCTGAGCTCTACATGGGCAATTTGATATGGAAGAATAGAAATTGGCTGAGTACTCTCCTCAAGCTCAATGGAAAAGTCATATCACGCTCTTAGGGGGGGTAGGCTAGGTAAGTCAGTAGGAAACACATTTATAAATCACAAACGGTTGGATGGACTAGGTGAAGGAACCTCCCTACTCACATCATGCACATAGGCCAAATAAGACAAAAACTTACTAAGCACTAGCCTCCGAGCTTGAACAACAGAGATAAATCAAACTAGTGTGCTACAAATGGAGCCTTGCCACACCACCAGTGGAATACCAAGCATGGTTAAGGTAACAATCTTAGAGAAACAATCTAAAACCGTGCGATAGGGGGATGTATAGTCAATTCTCAGAATAACATCGAAATCAAGCATATCTAACAATATGAGGTCAGCCCGGGTGTCACGCCCATATATAGTAACTAAGGCTTAATTTCTTTGCACTTAATATAAGATTGAATTAGAATGGTTCAAAAATTAGTCCATCAAGTGCGTTCATTTTGTTTTACTGAAAAAACTCTTAATGGGTCTGAATGAATCAGATTCTTGATAGAGTCTTATTCTCATTAAGACCATTTTAAAGGAACTTTTATTTTTCAGAAAACAATTGTGCTCCATATTGAAGTCACTCTCATTCTCCAACTTTATTAATTATCCAAATTATTTTCCATAAACTTTTAATTTTTGTTCTTGCTATTTTTTTATTAAGAATCGATAAAATTTATTGTAAAATTTTTATTTGATTAAAGTGCAAAACAACTTTATAAATATTTGTTGTTGAAATAAAAAAAAGATGACTACATTTTTTTCTAACATTTATTTTTTATTATTATTATGTAGTCCTCGTAACTCCATTAAATTTTTATTAAACTTGAAATATGTATTTATAATTTAAATTTGTTAAGGTTTATCAAATAATGATATATTTTCCTGATGTTATGTTATGTAATATTAACTACTATTTTTTGAATCCTAATATATATATATATATATATATATATATATAACAGTCTTAAGATCTTAATCATTCAGATGTGCATTCAGATTTAGATTTCTTAATTTTAATGAAAACAAATGAGGCCAAAGCATGATCTTAATTATTCAGAAGCACCTTTGACTCGGTTAAATTTCCTTGATGTGCCTTTTGAGTGGTCTAAGGAGTGTGAGTTGAGCTTTCGGAAGCTCAAGGAGTTTCTGACTATTGCCCCTATATTGACTCTTCCAATTGAGGGCGAGGGCATCATGGTCTATTGTGACGCATCCGGCGTTATTTTGTGTTGTGTATTAATGCAACAAGTTCGGGCTATTGCTTTTGCGTCGAGGTTGCTTAGGCTACATGAGGGCAACAACCCCACCCATTACTTGGAGTTGGCGGTGGTAGATTTTGCAATTCAGATCTAGAGGCACTACATGTATAGAGTTAGTTGTGAGATCTACACTGATCAGAGGAGTTTTTAGTACATCATAAGCCAGTGCCGCCTTAATTCAAGGCAACGTAACTAGGATTTGGTACAACTAATGGAAGAAGAGCAAGGCTGAAGGGGCAGCAATTGTGAGATGGGATGTGTTTGAAAGTACATTCATGGGTCGTTTCTTTCCCAGTGAGCTGAGAGAGGAAAATGTAAGAGAATTTCTCACTCTTAAATAGGAGGCCATGAGTGTGCATGAGTACAACCTCAAGTTCACTCAATTGTCATGCTATGCTCCAGAGATGGTTGTTGTTATGAGAAGCATGATGAGTCTATTTGTGTATGGGCTATCCTACTTGTCGAGCAATAAGGGTAAGGCAGCTTTGTTAATAGGGGACATGGTCATATCAAGACTTATGATTGATGTGTAGTAGGCTGAGAAAGAGAAGTTGAATGATAGGGAAGAGTTTCGTAATAAGAGGGCCAATACTAAAGGTCATGAGTCTGGACAATAGAAGACTGAAAATGTGAACCGGTCATCTTTTCAGTAAAAGCTAACTGGTCCTGCCCCATCGTCATCTAGTGCACCTGCACCAAAGAATAAAGGTGATTTCAGGAGCCAGAAATCCTAGAATTCTAAAGCAAGACCTACTCAATCTCAGGGTAATGTGGCACAAAGAACTAATTAGACAGTGTTAAATGTTGTAAAAACCACCCAGGAGCATGTCGTGATGGCTCCAATGGTTGCTTCAAGTGCGGGTAGATTAGTCACTTCATGAGCGAGTGCCCTAAGAACAAGAAGTTTAATGGTAATGGCGGCAATAGACCTGTATCTTCTTAAGCATCTCCAGTAGATAGACTTGCTCTGAGAGGAGCTACTTCAAGGACAGATAGAGGTGCAAACCGTCTATATGCTATCACCAGTCGCCAAGAGCAGGAGAATTCACCTATTACTAGAGGTGGAGTTCTTTAGTTGAAATCGCCTTTTTCCCATAACTACTTGCCTTGTAGGACTTGTCTCAGATAGACACTATTTAGTGGATCCACATAAGCTCATGATTATGGTCCTTACCTTGGGAACTATTACACTATCTATTCAATGTAAGAGTGGTGTACTGTTTTTGCCAGTTAACAGTATCTCCCACAACATTTTATGATTTCAAGAAAAGAACATGATTTACGTATTATATCATAATTAGAATATTGCATTGAGCTTATACTATGTTTTATGAACTCACATATCAAATTATGTCATATTTTACTTGGTCATGCATTATCATGTTTTCAGACTGATCATATTTTATATTATGATTCATGTATCTTTCCGCATGCTCAATACATTATGAGTACTGACCGCATGCATTTCTTATGCCAATATTATTTCGTAATATAGGTTATGGCACTCCACATCCACCCTGCAGTTAGCGAAGATTTCGTCAGCCCAACACAACTTTCGTGAGTCCTCATGATTTGGAGACCTTGCTACAATTGTCTTTTTTATTCATTCCAGACATACTTTAAGTTTTAATATTGTTTGCGTGCTAGGGCTTGTCCTAGCCACACCTATGTAGTAGAGGATTGTTGTCAAATATTAGTATTTCTTCATTATGTCATTATATTATGATTTTGATATCATATTGAGTTGAGATTTGAGAATGATATTCCATTTTCTTGATTCTTTCAATTATGTTTTTATCTTAGTGTCATGCTTTGTCAACTGTTCATTTGGAATTTCTGGGAATTTTTTTCACCATGTCACATCTAAGGGGTAGTCTTGGGTCGTGACAGTATCCAATTCTTAAATTGAAAACACATTATCAAGAATTTAGGAATTTCACACGAGGTGCCCTTGAGTAACAACGGTCCATGTCGTTACATTTCACTATCTATAGAAAATATTAACGCAAGTTTAGAAAAAAAAATTATGATAATAACATTGTTTATCATCCCCAAATATATGTGAAATATCTTATAAAATTCTCAAAGGACATTTTAAAAATATGTTCAAGAAGGTATATTTTCAATATTAAAACGTTATACATGAAAGAACAATAATTAATTAATGCTTTTATGAAAGAAAAGTTAGAAGAGCAAGGAAAAAATAACATCATGTTCAAATCTGTAGAGAAAATTAAAAGGGTGATAAAGAAGTCCTTGTTGTAATCATCATCAATGTCTTTGTCCATACTTTTTATATTACCCTTTAGTTTATTGACCGATCAAAAATTTGATAACCATATTGTCCTCCGTGTCGAGGTCAAAGATGATTATTGATTAGTGCTAATTGTAAAAATTGATACAATAACTGAGTACTATAAATTTCAATATCTTAATTTGCGTATGCTGCCTCCTAAAAGACTCATATGATTTATCAAAGAAAACTATATGTTTTATAGAATAGTAGATGATCTTCTTTGAAACTGATATGTTTCTAAGAATAGTAGATGAGCAAATTTTGAATTGATAAACATTTACAAATATATCAAGTTTAGCATTTAAATCGGAATGATTAACAAAGAAGACAAACACTACCTAGTGTCTAATAAACTAGTAATTTGTAAGGAACAAATGATATTATTGAAAGCAATAGCCATGATTTTGACACGGGGCGATAATGGTGTGTGATGATTATGAATGAACAAAGAGAAATAAGGACAATTATAAATTATTAAAATAGACTATTGGTATCTTGAAATCTTTTATTTTTTATTAGAAAACTAATAAATTCTATTTTATATCTTGTATATGTAATATTGAGATATTAATTAATTATTAACTAGTTGGGACACACGTTTGTTTGACCAAATTAAAACAACAAGTTTTTGTCTTTTGCGCCGTTCTCAAATGACACTCTATAAATGGTAAAAGCTTAACAACGAGTGAGGCAAACTTAGTTTTCTCCGGACTCGTCTCTTTCTTCACTAAAATTCAAATGTAAGTTACTCTTCTCTTATAAACCCTAATCCATTTTGGTTAAAGAAGAAGAAAATTATCTGGGCATGAATTTTGTTGAATCTGCTAGAATTTTTTCTATTTGAGATGATGTTGGATATTCAACTTGACCATTAGATTTTTATGAAAATAAATCAAAATAGCCGTCTATTGAAACTACATGAGCTTCTGTATCTGAATAGTCATTTGCATGTCTGATTTTTTTGTATTTAGCTTTCATGGTGCTATCTTTTTACATTAGGGAGGGGATGATAGGAAGAAATGAATTTTGTTTAATATTCCATATGACTTGAACTTTAAGTGTTAGGTATTACACTTAACAATTAGGTTTTTATGTGCAGAAGCAAACATCTATTGAAATTGTATAGCTTTCGATCCAGTTGCTAATTCGATTAATTGATTAGTTATTTCCTTCTAACATGCTTTTTTTTCTTTTCTTTTTCTGAACCAGTTACAACAATGAAAGGAGCTATTTCCTCTTATGATTCTGAAGGTACGTGTTATAACTCACATAATTTCCAAGTGATTCTCTCAATCTACTCGTTGGAACAGACTTGAGTTGGTTTGTTGTTTCCAAATAAAAAGAAAAAAAATTCTTCTCTACATTAAGTTGGGGTAAAAAATGACAATATTATTTTTGCATAATTTTGCCTCCATGGAAACTTGGGAATCAAAGATGGTCCTAGGAATTTATCACATAAAATTTTTGATTGCTCAAGTGTCATTAGCAAGAAGTTCATACATAAGTAAAAATTGGTACAACGAATTTGTTAATTCCATTTTACATATTTTCCGCAGTTTATCTTATAATCTTTATTTTTATAGCATTCTGTAATGAAGTTCAGTCATGTTATATGCTAACTAACACTTATCATCCAATAACAGTTCAGTTCCATTTGTTTGAAATATAATGTAAGCTAAGAGCATCCTAATATAATTGATTTGAAAAATACCTTGTGAACAATTTGATTTTCAGTCCTAAAAATGGTATTGTATATGGTTACGATATGCGTAAAAGCATTTCAACAGTTTGATTTCCCGTATTAAAATGAAGTTCATTCTTTATGATGTATCTGTATGAGTTTTAACAGATCTGTATTTTGCATCTGTATGAGTTTAAGAACAATGGAGCATTAACTTTGTATCGAGCTGAAAATGATGAAAACATTCTCTTCTTTCAAACAAGTTTGCTGCAGCCATAGAAATGGTAACAAATTAAAGATGATTTTAGAATGAAAATGCATACTTGGACAAATGGTAACATGCTTGTATAGCTTTCCTTTTTCTTCTCCAATAAGTAGACCATGAGACAATAAGGACACTTTGAATCAAGAAAACCTTTCAATTTTTTCACCTTGTCGAATTTGGAAGAAAAGACATATATCTATGTTTCTTCCTTTTGGTATGTACCAATGGACAGACAATATCTGGATAGATGTAGCTTTCATTTAATAGAAGCTAGACGTCCCAAGGGAAATTCTCGTGCACAAATCTCTCTTCATTTACTTATTAAAACAACTCTTTTCTAATGTGAAAACGCAAGTTTGAGAGGCCTCTTTTATGATAATACTGATTCTCAAATGCGTTACTTTTTGCTTTGTTAATATGTATATTGTTTCAAAGATCTTATGTTCAAACTTATTGCCACATGAGTAACTAAAGTGCAAGGTTATGATGTATCTTTACTCAATGTTTTTTATTCATATCACTAGTCATACACGCTCTCTATATCAGATTCAATCCTGAGAAGAACAAGAATATACCAAGAGTACATGAAGGTGGTCCCTATGCCCACACAACGTGGCTTTGTTATCCCTTTCACCTCATGGGTTGGATTTGCTGCATCCATGAATGAGTTCTATGGGCAACCCCTACATTACCTGACAAATGTCCAAATGAAGAAGTTTGATCAAATGAGGCTTGGTGCTGATAATGAAGATGTTCCATTAGATACCATCATCGATCTGGGCAAAGCTGAAGCAACCATCTGGATTATTGAAGAAGTTCACAGGTGTACATCGTCTCATCATTACATTACTAAACTTTGGCTTGCTGATACAATGTATCATCGCCATGTTGATGCAATTTTCCCTGAGCTGCCGAATTCATCAAAATAGATTCTTTGTCAATCTATCTTCATTGACTTGGTTTAGACTCGTGAACCTTCTACTTGAAAATCAATCCATTCTCTATCACTCTTCCCTAAACAACCATCTATGTATTAAATATATTGCACATCATATGTATGCTTTAAATTATCTCATTTCACATGTGGATCAAGTGAACATATATTGAAATTGTGCTTGTATGGTGAAGCAGAAAGTTTTCTATTGTGTCTTTGCGTTTGTAAACTTAATTTAAATTAAAGACCCCTATCATCAATGGAGTAGTTAAGAAGGTATGAGTTCAAGTGAAACTCGAAAGTTTGACACACAGTTGGGGCATTGATATATGTGCATAAAATATCTAAATTCCAATAAATACTCTATCTCGAACCCATAATTAATATTAAGTTAGATATATGACATTGTGCTCATGTTTAACATTAAAGCATATATGAAACACTTCCTTATGCAAATAACAAAGTACATTTAGATACACTCTGTTGTTTTTTCTTTTCTAACAAGAAATTCAAGTGCATCAAAGTAGTTAGATATGGTACATTCTTTAAATACATGGAAAAAATAATTTTAGTAAAAGAAAGAGCACCACTTGGTAAAAGGTAACGTTCTCTTTTCCCCAATCGTTCATGGTTACATTTTTTCTTTCTAAAGAGGAAAAAATACAAAATATTTCATGTGATATGAAATCATTAGAGATGAAGTTGAAGATTTATTTGGATATGCAATTTGTATGACTACCTTAAAAAAAGATCTAGTACTTTAATTCATGTTTCAAACATAGATAATTTTGTATCCAACTGTATGATAGCGGGCACAAATCTATGAATAAGAGACGTTATACTAGTATCTACTGGCCCTAAATTATAACCAAGCTCCGTGAGAACAGCTAGGAAGGAAGCACCGCAAAGGGTTTACAGGGCAGCTCGGCTGGTAAAAAAGGAGAGGGTACCGAAGTGGGAGGCTCGTAGACACTTTTAGTGCAATGACTAGTCTATTCTCTTTTCTCTACGAAATTTCCTTTTTTTCATACTAAGACATTGACTAAGCTAAGAGAAGGATTTATGATTGATGGAGGGATTGAGCTAAGCCCTATTTCACAAGGATCATCATTCGCTTGCCTTGGAGATTAGAAGCAAAAGAACCTTGTCCGGGTGAAATACCACTCAAACCCAAAGCTAGTTGGTTCTTCGCGAATCAACTTTCGTCTTTCTACAGAACAAGTCATCTCATTTACTCCCCCGTTAGCCGGCTTTTGTAGCAAACTCTATTTGTTCTTCGCAGCTTTGTGTTGTGGAGCATACTTCGTAGCTCCAATGGGAATAGTGACTAGCATTATAGGTCGTAGGGCAAGGGCATTAGATGCATCTGATTTAATTCCTGATCCGCTCTCTCTTTCACAGCCTAGGTGTACACATCGATGAACTTACGTAAGACTTGAAAGAAAGCCCTTTTATCCAAATCTCATCTATTGAAAAGGGGCTAGGCATAGCACATTCTTTTTTTGGGCACATAGGCTATTACAGACGCATAAAACAAGAGCATGAACTCTCTAACTACAAATTTAAATTATGCAAATACCCCTAACTTAAGAAAACCTTAACTAAAAACACCTCACATTACCATATTCTTTTGCCACTCAACACAATCCTTCACGAAGCGACATGACTTCCAACTCTTGCATTCTAGACAGTCACTAGCGTCCATCCCCCAACAAATGCAACTTCTCACTATCCTCTCTTTAAAACTCTATAGCGCAGATTCTGCAACAAATAAATTGCCAGTATTAGAACAAACATCCATCTTCAGCAATAAACGAATAGCTATACCCTGTTACATCCTCTATTCCCTGTTATTGCCTTAGTATAATAGACCTTCCTACTCGTATTTGAAAATTTGAATAACAGATCTTAATATTGGTTCTGCAACAGTGATCACAGCACCCTATGGGTTGTCAGACACAACAGGACAATATTGTGGCTACTATTTTTCAGGATCTCACCCGACAATGCGAGTGCGACTGGTGATGTGGGAGATGCTACTATGTATTAATGATTTCACTCTTGTGGATTACAACATTTTCCCTCCAATGGCATGAATTAATATCTGCTTCCAAACCATCTAATGCAGGTATAAAACCTCACTTCATAACGTGTTGTGTATTTTCTACTTTAACTACAAGACAAGATGAAGATTGTACTTTACTATTTGAATCTAACTTGATATAAGTAGTAGCTATAATAAGCAAGGATGTAAGTTACACATTTTTTATAAGGAACTATTCTTCTACCACAATAGGAAGTAAAATGCCCCCTTGAATGCTCACCAGTCAACAACTTCTTTGGAATTTTGCTGGCTACTAGTGGTGGCAAATGGGCGGGTTAGGTCAAATTTGGACGGGTTGAAAATGGGTAATAATTCAACCCGCCCATATTTGATATGGGTAAAAATGGATTGGGTAACAAATGGGTTGGGTAAAATACTAGTTTATCCATATTTTATCCATATTTTCATGAGTTCATAGTACTCTACCTAAGAATTCAACATGGAGAAAATATTTTAGTCATTTTTTTAGATGAAAAATGTTGAAAATGCTTCACTTAGTTTTTTTATATCATAAAAGTAAAAAAAAATCCTATAACTTTTCAATGTAAAATCAATTTATGTAATAACAAGGGAAACATATTTTTAATTTCAAAATAAATGAATATTTGCATTTTAAGACTAAAACATGCTTAATGCACTTTAAGCAATGTCAATACTAATACATGATTTGCTTATTTTACACTATTATTTATTATCCAATATAAAATAAACAAATAAAAAATATATTTATAATTAACAAAAGAAATGTACATTTAAAATATATATTTTTGGAAGGCCAACGTCTTCACCTTTTCAATTAAAGAGAAAAATAATTAGTTTTTATATAAGAACATAAAGAGGAAGAGAAGTTACAATATTTTTGGTGATATCATGAATTTTGAGTGAAAAAAAGTTAGAAGTTTAACCCATTTGGCTAATCCATACTTTACCCATAGTTTACCCATATTTCATATTTTTATGGGTTGAATATGGGTATCAACCCATATTTTATCCATGTAAAAAATCACTCACCCAACCCATTAAAATATGGGGGGTTGGGCAGGTTACCAAAATATGAGCTCATTTTATCGGCACTAGTTGCTACTAATTGCCCATCCCAGGTGAACGTCAAAAGACCTGTAATGGAAGGCATTTGTGGATATTATTTTTTACTAAGCTTATGAATTTGAGCTTTGTTATTGATGCTGGAATACTTGATCAATTGTTAGGTTCCGGTGTGTACGAAATCTGGGTAGCCGACGTAGTTTATAACTTAGAAAATGATTGCGAAAAAACTCGACAATGAAAGATTTTAATCAGCCGTATCATTTTCCTGTATCTGATTAGAAGTTCTCCGTTTATTCATAGGCCGGTGTCGTGGTTTGACAGTCATTTAACTCTTGTGACAAGGGAAAGCAAAAGTCCATGATAGCTCTTTGGGAATTTTAAGGACCGGTCGTTGATCAATTGTCATGTACTTGTCTTCCACCCACTTCTTCTCAATTCTCTCAATTATCTTTTCCTTCGTTTTCGTTTTGTAGTTTCTGTGAAATAAACAACCTTTTAAGTGATTAATGGTGACATAGTTCTCCTAGTTGTTGATTCATGATAGTCAGTCGAAAATTTTCTTTGAAAAGAATTGATGTTTAATAGTTTAATATTATCGTAAAATGAATGGTAAGTTCTCAAATTTTAGCACCTATTAGGTTCTGGGAAAAGTTTTACTATTTTGAAGAAAGTTGCACAATACTTGATCTATTAACATTATGTATATGCAGTTGGCTCAGTTGCTATCGCAGGGCTGATCCTAATGCAGCAGCAATAACTCTTTTGTCGGAAAGTTCATATATGTTCACCCAAGTCACCCTCCTCCTCATCTGTGTTTTCCCACTTAGAATCAAATTGAGTACTTTTAAATCCCTTGATTTCATATGCTTCCAGTTGCCTTTTCTCTGCTTTTTTTCTTAATGTTTTCTGCTCATATTACCAGTTATCTACTCAATCACTGGATAAAAAAAGTGAAACATGAGGCTTGAGAGGGATTCGTAAATGCCGAGGTTGAAATATAGCAGGGATTTGTCGATGGTCCTCTAAAAATGGACTGCTAGAGCAAACAACAATTGGCTTATTGGTGCCAAAAGGTGTTAATGTGTGTGTCGATTGTCTTAATGTGTTATTGTCATTGTTGTATTGAACCAATATTTGTACCTTGATTGTTACTCTGTGTACCGCCTTTCAATTGTGTGTATCTTTAATTTTGTACTATTTTTCATATTATTAATACCGATACTCTTTGTTTTAAACACAGAATAATACTATTCTCTTGCTACTACCTAAGGTATCCTAATATTTTACGCAATGCAATCTATCTAGCTAATATTTCTTTGTTCACTTAGTTTGAACTAAATAATATTAATCTCATTACTTAACAACTATCCTTATATTTGAATCGAATGTGATATTTCACTCTTCTAATATGTTATTAGAATCGTTCGCTCACTAAGTTTGAAACTCTCTAATTATGCCTTATTAAAGCTATTTAAATGTCCTCATCAAATCTAAACAGCAGCTCCCAGCATAAGTTACACATGCTTTTAAAAAATGGTCAACTTTATGTTGTCCTTTAAGGAGGAAAAACAATAATCACTACAACAAAAGATGCTTTTAGTGGCATTTATTTAGTGGCAATAAGTGAATTGCCACTAATACATTATATTAACTATACTATTCCCGGCATTTAAACTTTAGCCAGTAAAGGAGGATAGAATGAAAGTCGATTTGTTATATTTTTTAATTTTCCCCCAATTCCTTTTTACTTTGAATTTTCCTCCATCTTCGTCCTTCAACGAAATTCAAATGGTCGGCGATAGAAATCAACACAACGGCGATAGAAATTGACGCGACTACAGTGG